ACACACACACACACACATACACACACACTGAAGCTACTGTCATTGAGGGTGTCAATTCTGCCTCAGAGGGATACTGTATTACAGAATAAAACTCCCTCATAGGGTTTGCCAAGTTGTAAATCTTTACAGAAGCAGTCACCTCTTTGTCCCATGGTGGGTTTGAACTATCTACCTTTTTTTTTTCTTTTTGTAACAGTTGAACACTTAAACACAGTACAACCAGGGCTCCTTATAAAAACATAACATGGAATGTTATTCAGTCATAAGGGAGCTCTGGTGGCCTAGTGGCAAGAAGCGGCACTGCAATCCTGAAGGCACGTGGTGGCTCAGTCTACCAGACACAGTGCGGGAGAAGGATGGACAGTCTCCTTCCGTGCAATTAACTGCCTTTGAAAAGTCACCAGAGGGTCGGCTGTGGGTTGGTTCTGACTTGAGGGTACACAACAACATTCAGTCATAAAGAGAATAATGTTTTGATACATGCTACAATACTGGTGACTTAAAAGTCTGTGCCAATTAAAGCAAGTCAGACACAAAACAGTACATATTACATAGCACCACTTATATAAAATACCTGGCATAGGCCAAAAAATTCATTAGATGTTATCACGTACAGGGAAAGGGGAAGAGGAGAAGGCGAGTTACTGAATTTCTGTTTGGGATTACGTGACACCTTTGAAAACGGACAGTATTGATGTTTACACAATATGGTAAATGCAATTAATGTCACTATTTCAAATTATACAGTTTAGTGATAGTTCCACAATGAAATCAACAAGATGGTTCAGAAAAAATTTTGGTGAGGGGAATAGAGGAATTCTTTCATGAGTAAAAGCCAAGGGTCAAATAAATCTGTTGTTTTCTTTGCTATTTTCATTCCATTCGTAGCATCACCTACTAATCATTGCCTAAGCATTGATCTCTGCTTAATTATATATGAAGGGAGAATACTGTGTCCTAATTCCCTCTAAACCTTAGCCAGTATTATGTAGCTATAGTCAGTATCCGTGTCCCTGCTGAACTAGTAACATGTGACAAATAGCTAAAACAGCTTTAATCAATGACATCTCTGTTGAGTTCATTAAAAATAATAAGTGTTCTACTGCTGATTTATGGAGCCTAAGATTTCCTTTTATTCTTCTGCTTCAGGCTTACAGACTGAAAAGGGTGTGGAAGAGGAATGACATAGGAGGTGGTTTGTCCTCCCTGAAATGTACACACATGCTTTGATGGGAAGATGTGGACACCAGGCAAGGGGGTTGTCACACAGCAGCTCCTTGGAGCTGGGGACTGGCAACGCTTTCACAGATTCCTCTCTGGCTTAATTAAACTTCCTCTTAACCATCTAACTGGGGAATATGGCAACTGTACTTTCACTTCTAAGGTAATAAATAATATGCCTTAAAAAATAAAAAGGGTAAAGAGATGGGATGTCAAAGAAAAAGAAAACAATTAAAAAAATCATGATATACTGAAATAAAGGTGTCTGAGGAAGAAAAGAACTTCTGCTTGAAGTCATAGCATCAGACCCAGAAAAGCTGACAAGAAGCACAAATGGCCTATGGGCTAACAAAGCAGATCTCTATGTACACAAAACCATCAGGGTTTACATGCAAGCCAGTTTAGCAGTGAGAATGAATAGTTCTCAGAGGTTTCAGCTTAAAATTTTGGGGATTTTACCTTTCTAATAATGCTCAGGTGGTGTTTTATGCCACTTATTTCTGCAGTGGGCCAATGCCTCACACAACCATCTGGCACCCTCCGAACCTATGCAGCCTGTTCTTTTCGATGTGTGGCATCTTAAATTCAATACATTACCTTTGGGAACCTTTCTTTGTAGACATGGTTCATCATAATTATTTCATGGTCACAGCAGGCAGGAGAACGTCCAGGGCTGCAAGTAAAGCAAATTGTCCTTTTAAATTTGTCACAGAATGGAATGAAAATAAGCTTTTTATTTATCAACAATGAGCTATATCAAAAGTACTATGCAGCCTTCATAAGGGAAAGTATATTGGGTCATAAACTACAAAATCAGTCATTAGAATACACATACACATGCTTATCTACAAAAACAGGGATGCCCTGCACAGGATTCCAAAAAGAAGGTTCAAGAAGTAGAACGCCACAAGACAATTGTAGAAGCAGTACAAAAAAGCTGGCACAGAAAATGTCATTAAATTGAGATTTTGTTCTGCATTTAGTATGAATTGGTGCAGTTCTGGAAGCTAATTAATGAATTCCAGTATAAAACAAAATCAGTCACTACAAACATTAATTCAAACATTGTGGACACATTTAACAGAATAATTTCACACTTTTTTCATACACCTGAGCTCAGCCTCACACCACTGAAGAGGTTTAAATGTCTTCCATGGCACAGATGTCATAATCGAAATCCATTTTCTAGTCTATATTTATTTGGATGCTGAGGTAGTCATTCTGTGTAATATAAATCACTGTGGGCTTTACTTTCTTCCCATCAATAATAGGGTCATGCCTTGCCTAGTAGTACATAGTTGCACAACTATGAGCATGTGAATATTATATATTCCTGAGAGGACTTGGTTAATATAGATATTCCAGGAACTCCTTTCATAAAACCCACAATAAGACCTATTTAATAAGACACAATTCCTCTATGCTTCTAGGCAAAGTAGTAAAATTAATCTTCCATTTTATATTTCAAAAGAATATATAGGATATCCCGCAATTATCCTGTCTGACTATGTTTAAGAAAGGTAAAAAATATAAGTAAACAACATCACTTCTCTTGCCACTAGGCCACCAAAGCAACTCAACCAATAACATTCCATGACAAGTTTGGAAGCGGGAGTGGCATTTACTTCCTAAACGACATGCCTCCGGAAACTCTAGACCTTTGATAAATGTCGACAGCTGTAGAGGGGCTTTTGTACATAGGGTTACTATGAGTCATGCTCAACTCGACAGCAATCAACAAAAACAACATCTATTAGGTCAAATCTTAAAACAGTCAAGTGCTCCATTTCTATGACATTATGATCCATTCTGGAGCAGACAAGGAGAAATCTTCTCAAATATATCCTCATCCCCTTTCAAGAGGATCTATATAGTCCAGTCATCACTATTGGCAGATGCCATCAGTTCTAATCCACTTCAAAGACCACCTCAGCAGAAAGAAAGTGCTTTCTGCAAAGTCAGGACCTTCCCAAGGTGACCAAATTCAACAATGAGCCCAGTGATTCAATAGGGGATATGAGGGTCAGGTCATTTTTCCTCAGAGGTGCAATTTTCACAGGTCTTAAGCTCCTGAGGAGTTTGTCCCTGCAGGTTTTAGATAAGGCTACTGGGATTGTACTACAACTTAACTTTTCTCTCTGTTCAGTCCTGTTTCTTTTCTTCCTTCTACAGAAGCACTCTCTAATAAACTTGCAGACCTGAACACTAATATCTATCTTAGAGTTTGCTCCTGAGGAACCAAATAGGACACATTATATGAAACCAAGTCAAAGCAAAATTAGCTCTACCACATGTAGAATCCAGAGAATCTAATATTCAGGGAATCTAAATACCTGGAAGCTTGTGCATAATTCTGGTAAAAACAAGACTTACAATTAAAAGAAAGAACAAATACTGGGGTGAGCATTTATAATGTAGAATCTGAAAAACACTCTTATTTGTTTGCTGCCCTTCCTTTTCAATTGATTTCCTTCTTTCTGAAGTTAAATAAAAATCTAAACTACTCTTGTACTCTAGTTAAGATTGATTGCCTTGAAATTTCAAATGCCTAGACATTTTATAGGTGGCCCCATAAGGCAACTGCAGTAATTAGTGAATTGTGTGGATTTAAAACTGAGAAAGAAGGGGGAAGGGGGATGCCTTTCTGTGGTAATTAACAATAACAAGTATATGGGGGAGGGGGAATCATACCACAGCTCACAAGGCAATTAACCATACCTATATAAATTATCCATTGGTATCAATTCCAACTCATAAAGACGCAACTGTAGGATGGTGTAGAACTGCCCCATGGGGTTTTCAACGCCCTAGTCTTTATAAAAGCAGCTGGCCTCATCTTCATCCCACCACACAAGAGTTAAAAGGCCAAAATGATACCTTTGTAATCAGTGAAAATAGCCAGCCCCGCTGGTACAGGGTTACTATGAGTTGGAACTGACTTGCCGGCAGTGGGGTTTGTTTTGTTAACTATGTTACTGTTGGTGGTAAGGTCTACATACCTCAGACTTCGGGAACGGGGGCGCATTGGGGTGTTTCTGCATCTGTTCTCAGTAGCGATGCTCTCGGTGGTACAAAAATGTTTTGATAAAAAGTGTAATTCATCTGGCGTTGGTTGGTATGGTAACTGATGCAACTTCTCCTGGGAGGAACAGGATGACTACAACAAACCACAGTGAGGTTACATACGGCATTGAAATGAAATTCATCAAACGAATAGGAAATCAAAGCACTAAACCTGGGTGAGTCCACCTTCCACATGTTTCCCCATTTATATTATAGTTACAAGAACTACTGCCTAAACGTGTACCCCGGTGCTCTTTCTAAGAGGCAAAAATGCCATCAATTTACCTATAAGACAATATTTGTAAAACAGTGCCTTTTCTAGGAAAAAACAAGATTCAGAAAATGCGCCAGATCAATCAAGTGACAGTTCAGGGTAAGAATTCAGTGCATTCAATCACATAGTAGTTTGCAACTGATAATGTTAACTCTTGTTTCTACTACTGCTTACAAAGATGCCTGGTGACTTTTTAGTCACAAAATAATTAGATGATGTGTGAGCCTCTCTGTCTAGCACATAATAAAACATGTTGTCAGCAATCAGGGGAAGGAATCTAGAAGATATTTTTTCAATAATACCATTGCCTTAAAAATTTATAATATTTTTCCCCTTTCTTTCTTAGCCAACGTATCACTTTCTCTTCTTTATAAAAATATCACTTCAATGGAGTGAGTGGGATATTTCCATCCCTTGGATATAGATTTGCTTTTCTGAAAGCATTCACTTGAGCAAGAAAAGTTGCAAACGGAAAAGTTCAACATCTCTGTTCTTCATCAGTCTAAGACAAAGAACCATAAAGCAAAGAAAGCTGGCTCTAGTTTTGATTTCTGTGGGACATAAACTCACAATTCTATTTAAAAAAGAACTGAGAATTTTTTTAGTAATTATAAAATGGTTTTTAAAAAGCACATTTTGAAAGGTAGCATTCACTTGAAAATATAAGGTTTATTAGGCTTGTCTTAATTAAAAAAAGTCATTACATTAAAGGCACACTTCATAAATATTGACGTAGAGCAATGCAGTAATACTAGAAATTAATGACTAAAACTTAAAAATATCCCCACACCAAGAATCTATAAAAACACTTTCTGAAATATATACTGAGACAAAGGGGATAATTCTAGGATGTAATGAGATTATCTTACAAACCACAGGCATGAAAACTTTCCTCGAAATACATAAAAGATGCAACTAAAACCTCTATTCAGAAAGTAAAGTTGTAATCTCAAATAATTTCACTATGAAAAAAGGAAAGATAATACAGGAGCTATGTAGTAAGCTCAAGAAATCAAAGAAATAATAATGCAATCATCAGTGTAAGCAGAAAAAAAGTTCTGCATTTTTAGGCAGATAATGTATTTTTGCCACCTGGGCAACTTTCTCACACATTATTTTCTTGGGCATACCACACACATCTTATGTGTGTATCATCTATGGGAATTAGAAAAGGTAGTGGTGATAGAACAGAAATCAGAAAATTAGCAACTAGAGAACAGAAGAAAGAAATCTGTACATATGGGTCAAAAGGAAAAAAAGTCAACAAGAAAATTCTTTACCAAGATTCCAAAACTCAGAACTACAAAATTTGCAATTTTTTTCATAAATATACACAAATTTCTTTTGGTGGTAAAATAATTAAATTGATGTGAAATTATTTCAAATAAATCATGTCTCAACATAAAGAAAACAAAAGCCTTACAAGTGACTCCATTAATAAACAACATTACCATACCTAGATAAAAAATTTGTCATTTTCATAGGTTTTCTTTTGGTAGGATACACAGTCATTGTCATGGTTACAACAATCAAGGAATCAAACACTGGGCAATTCTACAACAACAGACCTCTTTTACATGTTAAAGCAAAGATGACACTTTGAAGAGGAAAGGTGTACCTGACTCAAGCCAATATATTTCCAATTGCCTCACGTGCATGTAAAAGCAGAGATATGCAAACCCATGTTTAGCTGGAAACAACCCAAGAGCCCATCAACAAATGGATAGAGAAGCTCTGGTATATTCACACAATGGAATACTATGCAGCACTGAAAAACAAGGAACTCATGAAACACTATGCTAAATGCATGATCCTAAAGGACATCATGCTGAGTGAAATAGTCACAAAAGGACAAATATTGCACAGGGTCACTATTGTAAAACAGGACTGACATTGGGGTTGAGGAAAGACAGAGAAGAAGGGGAGGAATCATGTATACTACATTGCAACAGATGAGGGACAGAATTGTTTAAAAGGGTTATATGATTAGGTATTATTGTTATGACAGGAGTCCAGAATGAAGGCTGCACAGTGCAGTGGGCTTGGGCAGAGGGATTGCATAACAATGAAAGAGTTTTTCTTTTACTTTTCAAGGAGAAGAGTGAATTATTGGGGGAGCAGGGATGGGCAAGGAGAAAAGTACAATAATGAATGACTGGAAACCCTAAGTCTCTGTAAATTTTCATTAAAATTAATTTAAAAAAATCTGGACAAGGAATATAAAAAAACAGAAAAAAAAACTGATACTCTTAATTATGGTGTTGGTGAAGATTACTGAATACACCATAAACTGCCAGAAAACCAACCACGTCTTTATTGGAAGAAGTCCAGCCAGAATGTTCTTTGGAAGTGAGTAGAGAACAAGTCTTTATCTCACATACTTTGGGCATATCATCGGGAGGTCTCTGTCCCTGGAGATGGACACTACATGGTTAGCAGGGTAGAAGGTGAGCCAAAAAGAGGAGATAGATTAACAAGGTGACTGTAAAAAGAGGCTCCAACAGCAGTGACTGTGAAGATGGCTCTGACAGGAGAGTGTTTTGCCACACATGGCGCTGCTGTGAGTACACAGTTTGCCAATTTGATGGTATCTAATAACAGCAACACAGAATTTAATGTGAATAGTCATTAAGATACTAAAACATTGTTGATGAGCTGTAGTCCAGCTGCAGCCAGGCAGTTATGTACTTGTGTAGGAATCTGTTACCTTTTCAAAACTCAAAAATAAATTTCTTAAAGCTAGGCTCAAAGAAATGTGGCATCCACTTCCAAAATAGCTTGCCTCCAGAAACTCTATGAACTTAGAGAAATGATGAAAGTTATACGGGTTAAGGGCTTTCATTCATAAGATCGCTATGAGTCATCTACTACTTGACAGAACTTAACAACAATAGGCTCAAAGGATTCAGAGAAAATTATTATAGATCTGTAATATATAGGGGGACATCAGAAAAGTGCCTTTTATTTCAGAGTAAGAGAGTAAAAGGGATTGGGTAGAGAGGAGCATTAGGTGGGTAACTTTTACAAGTTCTCCCATTCTCATCACCCAGCAAGTGAGCATATCCTTAGTACTTAATTGATGAATCAAACTGACTCCTGAAGAATGAAGGTTTACACACAATAATGTGCTGCGAGTTACCAAGACTATTAGAAGTTAAAAAAAAAGTTCTGTTGTAATATCAATTAAGCAGTTAATCTTTCAAGACAAACATTTTGCAAAGAATTTTATTAATATTCATGCAGAAGTTCCTATTTGTTAAAAGTCCTATCCATATATATTTCATATTTACAGCAGAAATTACTATAGCTGTAAGAAATACATGGGGAGGAATGATGTCATTTACTACTGCAATTCCTCATGACTTTATTTTAAAATTAAAAATTATGATCTGAATGCTAAAATTATGATCTTGGAATAGTTTCACAAATTAATTTTTCAGCTGCAAAATTTAAAGTTAAAAGAAGTATTTAAATTTGAAGTTAAAAGGCAGTAGTACTAAATCTTCCTTTGTAGAGCTGATTAACTTCATATGAGTAAATCTTTCCAATTGCAGGAGATAGCATTTTTAACATTTTCCAGTGTTGCCATTTCCATAATATACAAAGGATAAAGCTATGATAATATTTACATTTCTGCACTAGCAGTACTGGAGTTCAACTAACAGCATAATTATCTGTAAAATTTAAACTCTATGATGTATGTTTATAATTTTATTTGTATACATTATACACTTCTTAATCTAAAAAATCACAGATGCTTGACTGACAAACTTACTAACCAAGTGAAATTAGAACTGAAGAGCAATTTGGAAAAAAGGAAAATACCACTAGGAACTAGCATCTTTACACAAGTTTTGCTGTGATATTAAAGGGCAAGAAGACCAAGAAAGTGAAGATGAGATCTATTCTAGTTTCCACTCATTACTTTTAACAATCAATAACTGAATTTTTGCACAATAGCATATACAGTCCACAAATTAAACAACTCCTTCCACCGTTAAACAAAGGGAACAAGGTCACCTCTGAGATAAAATTTCATTATTTTTTAAAAAAAAAGTAAGATTAACTGTTAACCTGGCATTACCATCTTCAATAAAATACTTAGGAGAAAAGCTGTCTTGTCTTTGATCACAACTCAACTGTCATGACTGACAATCCTGTGAATTTTTGGAGGGTAGAAGAGACTAGCTCATTTTTCTCCCAATTACCAGGGAGCAACTCCCTCCTTTGTGAGCCACTCGAGCTCTGTCAGAAACTACTGCTGTTATTACATGCCATCGAGTCAGAACAAACTCACAGCTGACCTGCTAGTGGATTCAGTGGAGTCAGTAAATCACACACAAGGTGACTGTCTATTTTTCTTCCCTGAACCAACTGGTGGATTCAAACCATCTGCCTTTAAGTTGGCAGCACAGCTCTGTACCACTAGGCTGCCACTGTTGTTGGTAAGTGCCATCAAGTCGCAGGCGACTCATAGCGACCCTATGAAGGAGAGTCCTCAACGCTTGGGTGCCTTTCATCCTCTCTCCAGGTTCATAGGGTTTCCGGAGGCAAGCTGTTATGGAAGTGGATGCCACTTTTCCTTCCAAAGGCTGCCATTAGATATACGAAATATGTGTCTGCCTAAATATTGCCTTAGGAAGGCCTCTTAAGCATATCCACAAGACAGTGGCAGCAATGATTCCATTATGTCAGATGGACAGGTCTGGCCTTTTGGTTACAAGATTTGTTTTAAACATTGTAAATTAAACATGTAAATTCCTTAAAAAGAGTCAAGAGATTTGAGTGTAGCCTACTTACTGTACTCTTAACAGCAAAGCAGTGGAGTTGGAAACACTCCCAGGTAAATCCGTGAGTCTCAGATTTCTGATCCATAAAATGAGGAAAACAACAGCAACTACCTTTTTAGGATTAAGTGAATCAGTGCATTTAAAGTAGTTAGACTAAAGCGCAGCACACCTATAAGAACTATTTGTATTTGTTAAAAGTATTTGTACCAAATGGAGTTTGACTTTATGCACACATCCTTTCCTTATAAATTCATTTTAAAAATACAGAGTGATTTACTAGAGGAAGAAAAAGAATTAGTGTTTACTTTCTCTATTTGTCTTACAAAACAGAGATTTCTATCCAGACTACAATACTCTTGACTAAGGAGCAATGTAAGATGATACAAGTGAAAGAAGCAGAAGTTTGGAATCAGGAGACATGAATTTGAATTTCTGGCATAGGGTGAATAAAAGGAGAACATGTATAGAAAGTCACACAAACAAAGAGCCAAACATTCTGTCTATTCTTGGCTTGATTCTACTTAAAGACTCCCACAGGTCTGGGGAAGAACAGTATTTAGAAATTAGAATATTATTTGTTTGATTGGTTTTTGTCAGTTTCAATATTTTTACTCACATTAGGCTTTCTGTATTTTCTACCACTAACATATGGACTAATGACCAATGGTGGATTTGATCACAAGAACCTACGAAGACCTCATTATTATTTAGGGAGAATATTTTCCACTGATGCCATTCAGAATTTTCAAACATCTTTTTTTCAGATATGAGGCTGACCTGCCACTGTAACTAGTCAGAGGTAGCAAGATGTTTCTCAAAGTAACGATGCACATGGACTATAAATTATCACCATAGGTGCACCAAAACTCCCATATAATATTACACTTGGGATTCTGGAATCACAAGCAAAAGAAATGGAAGGCAGTTGCCATTTTAATATAATTTCTTGTCAATCTGTTTCTGAGATGAGTGAATTGATGTGCTTGACACAGAACTATAGAAAAAACGCAATAGATAGTTAGCCCTTAAACAATCACCACAGGCTGTAAGGAAATGAGGAAGGAAATAAACCAGGAAGTACCCTAGAGTCACCAGGTTTATTGCCCTGCCTGGTTCAAGAGCCTCTGGACAACCTCAGCAGGTAATTACTGAACACCTATAAGGTACCAGGTCTTTTAAATAACCACTTGACTTCTAAAGCTTTGCAGAGACAGTTAGTCAACAACATTGCAAATGTAAGCTGAGAAAACACTTATCTTTCTGAATTGTTTCCAGTTTTGCTGGGCTTCTTACAGAAATGCTTTTATTTGGGGCAAGAGTGCCTATCCTTCTTCCTATAGTTTATCTTTATGGTTTCATCTTATATCTTCATTTATCTACTTCTTTTTCCTAATTGCTATTCTTATAATCTTATCTTAAAAGATATTTCTTGAAGTTTAAGTTTTGCTTTTTTTTTCCATTTAAAGGAGAAAACAAACAACTTCATCATAAGTTGCACAAGAAAAGTAAAACAAGGCTACCAAAGTTTAATGGTATTCTCAGCACTAATATCACTGGCACTAAGCTAAAGTAATACAGCCAAGACTGTATTTTTGTAACCCAGAAACTACAAATGGTATTCAAACAAAAATTTCCAATGTCCTCTAAACTAGCAATCCTGGGACTTGCTCAATTTATGCACCGCAGTGTAAAAGCTTGCAGTGAAAGTATGTCCTTTTTGTGTTTGTCAGCACATCATATGATGCGTAACCTATCTGGAGTGGCAGATACGCAGAATTTATCTTCTTTTTCCTACTAGGAAACAGCCAGAGAAAACACTGGCTAAGTAATGCCCCTGTTGTGATGAGGGAGAGGAGGAAAATCAGGTACTTACAGAAACTGTGGAGCTGGGTGTGTTTGTCCCATAGCCAGAGGAGGGGAGAGAAGCCAGGGACCAGCGGCGTCCATCAGTCCTATTGAGAAAGGAACTTTAGCTCAGGCCAATCCTGGAGTACTGTTACAAGGGAACCCCGGGGAAAGCGAGTATTTTTAGTGAAACAAATGACATGAACATAGTCTGTGACAATGTGAAAATGCTCCGCAATGGTCAGGGTAAACAAACATTATACAGTAGGTTGACTTTTATTTAAACAGAATCAATACACCCAAACAAGGGGAAAGCGAATGGGTTGATCCATAGTATTGATCTCTCACTAATACACTTTGATAAAATGAATACCAAGGATAATTACAACTGTCAGACTCAGCAGATTCAAATTAATAAAAACAGAGAGGGAATAAGAAGAACACTCTTATCTGGAAGCTGATAACCCAGGCTGAGGCTCTGGGAAGGACCTGGATTACTGCCTGGCACAGGAGCCTGTGGGGACTTCCACTGCATTCTAAAGACTCTCAGCTCATTATTTCCAGGAAACTGTTCTCCTCATCACACTGAGGAAGGAAGGGATCAGTGGCTGGCTCAAGTTTAAGTGGCAGATAGCTCTTGTACTAAGAAAGTGTCTGGCCTTAGGCTCAGAATCCCTTAAGAGTTATTGGCTTCAGGCATGACCTGACTTCATAAAGAGTCATTTGAAAGCCTCTTGCAGAGCCGTGGCCAGGCACAGTGAGGGGCAGGACAGAAGATTCTCCTCTCCAAGTGGAACTTAATCCAAAGAGGAGAGTTATCTACCTCCGTCTTCAAGGCAAAGTGTCAGCAGTCTTGATGACATGAGAACTGTTTATATTTTCAAATGGAGTTTGGTGGAATGGATGCTGAGTAGAACTCCGGCTCTGAATGACAGTCATTACAAGGACCTCAGGGGGTTAATGCATTAGCACAGAAAGTAATGCTGCTAAAACAAAGGGACACCAGAAAGGAAATTTTCTGAAATTTCTAGAATTCCAGAGAGATGTCCTTATTTGCAAAGTTTCCAGAGACTTGAAACTGACTAAAAAAAAATAAATAAAATCTCATGACATTGTGAAAATACACAAATTTGTCAGGGAATAAAACAGAGAAAATACATTTTCTGATGAGTATTTTACATTTGTATGTACAGTGGACAAATGCAGATTTTTCTTTTGTAATTTATGTTAGATTAATTAAATAAAAGATAAGGGTGAACAAAATTTACCACAGACACATTCACAGTAAACTGAAGGCAGTGAAGAGCATTAGACTTGAATGTGAGAAACATTACAAGTAGAGTTCACACAAAAAAGCTCCTATTTTAGTGAAAATATAGTTATTAGCTATGATAATTATTGGCTTCACTAAAGGTGAATGGCCCACAAGAACGAAATGGAGAAATTAAAGTGGACAATCACAGAACTGTTACAATGTTAAGATTTTTTTTGGTAACATTTACCTGTCATTTCTGTGCCATGATTGGAGTATAATTGAATTAAGAGGATTTAAAAAAACAACAAACAAACAAAAAAACACAGAAGCAAAATAAGATGTATGTAAAGATATCAGTAAAAGGGAAAATTGAAAATTCAATTATATATTCTCTGAAAATATTTTTTAAACCATCAAAATACTAGGTAGAACTAGAAGCGAAAAAATCACTATAATAGCATACTAAGAAAGATATTTGACTATCAGTTAAACAGGTACAAGTTGTTTCTTTTCTGGTTATTTATTAAAGGCTTAGAATTATTCTCATACTTTATGTTTAATACACCTCCAACTTTAAAACATAAAAAAGGGATATGATTTTAGAAGAATTATTCAGTCCATTTAATAGCAATTATCAGAAACTAGTCTCTGGAAAGAGTGAGGGACACAATTTCCTCCACCATGACTTTGTTTTGTGATTCATTAACTCTCCTTTCCCTCAGGTATCAGTGAACATATTTCAGACGAGTGAACAATTCCAAGAGGAGACATGTTCTTATTAGTTCTGAAGCATAAATTACGTTTGCTTACTCCGGAAAACACACAACGAGAAAGGTGTTTAAACAAGAGCTTTCTCAGTATTTTGTGCAGGCACAAACCAGAAATAATTTATGTCTCATAAAGTTACCTAAGTTGTCCGTGTCTATTTACTCAAATGGAGCACAAAGGACCACTGCATTTTCATTACCATGACAACTGCAATCATAAGTGACTATATATGCTATAGACAGCACTTAAGAGAAAGCATGCCCTTTTTTCCTAGGCAGATATCACACAAGTACGATTTGGATCCTAATAATGATGTTTTCTTTTCTTTGCAGTAGTGACCAATAAAACTTATCTGAAGAAAAGCCCACATTCTTGCCACAGCAACAAAGCCTTTCTGAGAAGAGTCATTTTCCTGGCAGATGGAAATTCTATGTTATGTTAAATAAAAAAGGAGGGAAGAAGCATCTGATGGGAGTACAGGACACAATGGCGTTTGTGAAAAATACTATTGCAGTACTGCTGTTAAGTGTCCTTGAGTTGAAAGTGAATCATAGTTGACCCTCTAGCAAATTGTCAGAGGCTTTAAATGGCATCTCCCGGCCCATCCCCTGCAGCAAACTGGTGGACTCCAACCACATGCCTTAGGGTTGGCAGCATGATTTCTTATCACTGCACTACCAGGATAATACAAATGAAATGTTCCAGTATAGACCTGCCTTTCACAGCTTACAAAGGAAAACATGTTCATCAACATCAGATGAACTAAATTAGTATTAAAGTTTGCACTGAGAACATGATTCTAGCTTAAGAAAAAAATCTACTAGACTATGATACTAATGTCCATCCTTTTACTTTAAATCAATAGGAATAAGTTAACTTGGTAATTATACCCTAAAATATGGACTAGACAATATGGACAGCAGATGTGTAGTGATGTTTTCCACACTGTTAAGTAGACTGCTGTATTTATTACACGGGATGCCCACTGATGGAGAATTATAACATCGAGCAAGTACAATGAGGAATAACTCGTAAGTCTGACCTTTACCCCACTGCCTAGGAATAATTTAAAAACCAGTAATATTCCTTTGATATAAGTTCAATACACAACCACATTTTTAAAAATAATAGGGTAAGGACATAAAATGGCATTTCTTCATAGGCTCAAAATGCACACCACATGGAATGGAACGGGGGGAATTCCATGTTTCCTGGCTAACCAATCAGTTCTAAAGAAGAGAAAGATCTTAAGTTAAATAAAAAACATAGTATTTGAGTTTTCATAACTAACACAAGAGTCCATTTAGTTGGGAGAAAAAGAGTTGTAAAAGATGCTCACTCATGGCCTAATCTAAATTAATACTTTTGAAGAGTGTAGAGGGGGCTCCATCTGGAAATTCATGCAAAATGAACTCAAGGTCTCCTGTGATAATCTCTTGTCACGGTTTATGGTCAATTTGTCAAAAATTAACATGCCTGGGGGTTTGTGTATTTTTATAGCACAGAAATAAAATTCATCTGTCCTCTAATCACCCACTTAATTATTAGATTTTCTCAATTTCCAGAAATCTGGCAGGATTAAGAAACTCTGATTCATGTCATGCTTAAAAGTATACTATAGTGAGATTTGCATTTTCTTCTTGCTTAAAGAAATTAAGTTCATTTTATTTTTGTACAAGTTGTATTTTAAAGATATGATGGGCTCCTGTATAATGATTTTTTAAAATTTGTTTTTAGCCTGGAAGTATATCATTCTGAATGTAATATTCACTGAGTGGACACAGGTGTTGTGTTCAAATTTTCACGTGTTGATAGTGCTTAAAACCTAAAAACGGAAAGTTGAAATTGGAAGAAAAGCAGGGGGAAGTCTGAAAAAGTCTTTGACGATCGTGTGTTAGTTATTCGTGGTTGAGGGGATAAGATGGATTGACACAGTGGCTGGGACGGGAGGAGGTTGAACCACAGGAATAAACTTAAGGGTGGTGCAGGACGGGGCAGCGTGCTTTGTCATGCCCTGCACAGGATCTCCGTGAGTCAGAACCAACTCCACAGCACTTCACAACACCAACATGGTGGGGCCCTGTACTGTACTCACAAAAGCCTTATGTAATAATGAACCAGATCCCAGAACGTCAGAGGAGGGGGGCAGGATTCCTGAAGTAACATTTTACATTCCTTTCACAATTAGTTCTTACCTCCGTGCAAATGAGAAATGGGCTGAGGCACTGGGGGAGAAATTTCTGGGACTATCTTGAGGGCTATTTCCTGTAGAAAGAAAAAAAAATATGTGTAACTTGATTATGTTTTTGTACCATTATTCAGACCCAGAAACTTCTTCCTCTCAGTAATAAACAGGTCTCACTATACTTCGATGACATGCCCTCCCCTCAGTGTTTCGGTTTTGTGGGAATGTTGTTCTGGGGTACTTAAGTTCTAGCACTCCTGCATAACACTGTCACTTCTCATACCAGTCATCTCAAAAACAAAATAAAACAAAAACAAACCATAAAAAACCCCATCAAACACATTGCCTGGAGCTAACTCATAGCTGACCCTCCAGAGGGTTTTTCAGAGGCTATAAATCGCATGGGAGTAGAAAACTACTTTTTTTCTCTCACTGAGCTGCTTGGGAATTTGAACCATAGAGAGATGTGACCTACATGTGACCTTTATGTTAGCAGCACAACTCTCTACAGGCTACAGCACCAGAGTTCAATTCTCTCTATTTAATAATCCAGTATTTCCATTCTGTCAGAGCCAATGGGTCATATCCAACTCACAGCTGACCCTCCAGGAAGTTCTCAGAGTCTGTAAACAGCTGAGGAAGAGACTGCCCCTCTTTCTCCCACTGAGCTGCCGGTGAACTGGAACCACTAGAGAGATGTGGCTTTTGGTTTGGCAATGCAGCCCCCCCATCCCTACTCACTAGGCTACCAGAGCTCCCCTTAATGCTACAGAACAACGAATACATAAACATTGGTTGTCACCTTCCAGGTGTTAGCTTTTCAAACAATGGCAAGAATGGAGAAGCTTGTGTTTTCATTTATGGGATGGGCTTTCTACTTTAGGCAGGTAAACTGAGTACTTCTGAATCAAAGATAAGAGTAGAAGTCTGAAAAAATAAGATTAGTCCTATTCCAAAGAATGTTCATTGAAGGTAGATGTGCCAGAACACATCATAAAATATTGGGAGAACAAAGCCAATTCAAGCTTATTTTCGAAATGTCATAGCTCTATCTCATCGACTGAATGGCCCAGAATTACCCCTGGTCACTATTCCCTTCAACAACCTCTCTGCTCCTCAGCAGCTGGACTGTGTCTGGCCCAGCAGTGTCTAAAAGCCGCAGCCACACAGAAGCTGGCAGGTCCCGTTTGCCCCACGCCCCAGTCAAGCTGTAGCTCAGGAGTCTCCCTCCGAGGCCCATGGGCTGTATGACTGCTCTGCTAAGGAGGACAGCTCTGCAGGGGACGTGTTACTTTTTTATTAGACCACTCAACCTGCTGCTGATGATTGAGGAAGCTTGGCAGACAGCTGGCAAGGGGAAGTCAGGACACTCCAGACCACCTTGCTTCACTCTGCATGTTTAATTAGATTGGTGAACTGTCTGAGGACACGACAGGCTCTAAGCGGTGTGACTTAGGAGAAGGGAGCAATTGCGAACAATCCTTGTGCTTTCTTTTTTTTTTTCTATAATTATATTTTATTAATTTTCATAAACATTTACAGAGATTTTGGGCTTCC